GAACACCCTCCGCCATCGATTACAGGGCACTGGGTGTAAAAGTTATTTGAAGGGGGGAGAGTAAACGGAGAGGTTAAATCCACCAGGAGAAGAGGGGTGACCCACAGTACAAATCCAAAAACAAATGGCCAAAGGTAGAGCGCACGATGTGGACACAAGAACCGAGCTCCGGTGAAGACGGGGAGGACGAAGGCAGGAGGAGGACCGGGCGGTGTGTCAGACAGGGACAGACGGAGTGGAGCAGGTGTGCGGGGGGGCGGCTGGGTGTCGGAGCATTCCCACCTCTAAATAGTAGGATGCTAGGAGTTGGCTCTCCGCGGGGCCCAGTCCCGTTTGGTGGACGCCATGCGTAAAACCCGACACCCAGCGGACGCATCAGTGGACGCTTATTTCCGCACTGGGACGATGATGTAGTTGCAAAATATCAACGTGAGTCAATCATGGAGTCAACTTTGGGTGGTGGTCAGGTGACAGGCCGCAACCAATGTGAACCCCTTTATGTTTGAGCATCACGATTTCCCCCAAAACTTCAATCTGATTAACCCACATTAGTTTAGTAGGTTACTGCTTACTTTGATGTTCATGGATGTGGGTCACAGATGGAGTCTAAACATCATTCTAAACTAGAAAAGATGGGGGAAATGACTGATAGTCCTGATATAGGCTACATGAGATTGAGAATATAGTTATAGGAACCTCGTGTGTTGCAGAGAGTTGTCTTTGAATGTTGTTTAAATCAAAACATCACTAAAGGCCTTTGGACCTACAGTGGAGTCATCTTTCTCCGAAGAAGAAAATAAAGATGATAGATCAATGCAAGAAACTCAAATGTAAAATCACATCAGAGGCACACACTCGTCTTTGCTTTTCGTCTCATGTGGGGACGCGCCCTGCTCACTTCTGGTTAGATGGCAGCGCCGTTGCAGACTTACTAATATTAGATCTGTTGATAAACTTATATAGCCTACCCACTTTGGATTCCCAGGCTATTCAGAAGTAACGTTAGGACCTGATTTACTGTAATGGCTCCATTACGCACGACGCGCTACGCATTCATGAGCCTGAGCCTATTATTAGATATGATGATATGATGGATCCAGGCGCTGCTCTGGGCCTCAGTCTCCAGGCTACGCACAAATAGGGCCTAGCTACCGAAAGCCTGCGGGGGTGCTGTAAGTGAATGAGCTGTTCCAAAAACAGAAATCATCGGCACTGACTGGCATCCCAGGCAGCCGCCGCTGTCTGGACAGGGAGAGGCGGTGTGTGGGTGGGCTGCTCGGAGGGGGGACTTATTTTGCTCAACTGCTCCAGTTGGTGATGTTGAGATGAAGTCAACTCGTTAAATTCACTGTAACACTTGGGCATTGGCTTCATGACCTGTTGTAAAAAAAAAAAAAAAGGCTAATAATAATTGCAAAATAAATATTTTTTTAGGGGCCACTGGCTGAACCTGTAATCACATCCAACAGTGGCATCATGGTGTCCTGGAGTGCACGAGTTAAACTCACGAGAAACCGCTGGAGGTCAGGAAAGTCATCAAACAGCACCGCTTGGTGCTTCAGAGTATGACGCAGTACCCCTCTGGCGTCATTTTACGCGCCCGCCGTCAAAGTGAGAGTGAGAATTTATTGCAGTAACTCTTTAAATCAAGCCTATGATTTTCTTTTCTTCTGAACTTATCAAACGCCACTGAGCCTGAACAATAGTAAAGTGGTAATTCTCCTCTTTGCCACAAAACTGAGCTTTAACATTTGGTGAAGGTGACAGAATATGTCATGGGGGCTAAACATGCATGAGCAAATATATTTTTACCTTTGTCTCCAATAAGAATGGAGAATTAACATGACATCTGTTACACCTGCTAAACATCAGCATTTTAGCATTATGATGCGTGCTGCCATGCTGGTATTAGCATTTAGCTCAAAGCACATATATCTTTACAGAGCCTCTAATGTGGCCCCTGAATCACCAGTGTAGTTATTTTTCTTGTCCATAAGAAGCTGTATACAGTGGTGGTGCATCCCTATAGGAACACCAGGTAAATACATTTAATAGATTGGACTGAATATGAGTGGGAAACAGAGCTTTTTAGGCTTAGAAGCAGAGCATTTGTCCTGCTACTAAAAGGCCATCTTTACCGCTTATGAGTATCAAACAGAACCTATTTTTCTCACAACACTCCTTTTCAGATAAGTCCTGCTGTGTCCCAATTCCATACTTACTATTTACAGTATGAACTATATGGCCTACAGCACTATATAAAATTCAACATTTCTTTGATGTCAGTCAAACTGCAAGTTTAGAATTTTTTTTCTGTAATGACTGTACAGACACAGACATCAAAAAAAGTAAAATTTGAACATTGCCAGGGATCTTAAAATAAAATCCTACTATCAACTAAAATGTTGGTGATTTATTTTTTACATATGGTATTGCTGTAACAATGCAACATTTAAATGTCAGTGCCAACCTTAACTTCTCAAAGGGAAAGCAAAATGTCTTTCTTAATATTTATAACTTATTTTTTGTTTACCAAGATTTTTTCTGGAGTTGTTTTCTGCTCTTTTGCAACTGATGTAGGTGTTTTACAGTGAGAGTTTCCATTTTCTTTATGTATATGCATTTCCATTTTGGGACAAGAATGTGTGTATACTTTTTAGTCTGTATACTGACATTTATACATGAGTATGCATTGTCATTTTTACAGTGTCAACAGACTACAATGTGAAAACCAACTGAGAATCTTTATGTACTATGGGTTTGGGAGCTCTACGTAGTCGTGGCAGCATCTGGAGAGCAGGGGGCAGTATAAGCACAGGTTACAGAGTACAATGTGAATCTCCACAGTAAACTAGGCCAGTGAGTCTTGGAAAGATGTTTTCTGTAGATGTCTCCCCCCAGGGCTGAGTAAACAACAAAGGAGCTGCAGTTGATCCTTAAAAACTAAATGGAGCACAAGAAGTAGAATTGATCCAGTGTTATTGTCAGATCATTCAGACAGCCCCTGATTGTGTGGATCTGTTTGAGGCTAAATGACACAGATGTTGAGAGTGGTACTTGCTGTGCTGATGAGAGCTAATCCAGGCTGACAAGGCGTGCTGCTCCTTAACAGACCATCGACACTCCTGGAGGTTTTTGGCAGCAATAGCTGTGGCAGAGAAATAATTTCATGGCTGGAGCCAGAGTTTTACAGTTTATCAGCTGTGCTATTAAATTAGCTCTTACTCTACTCAAAAAAAGCTGCATCTGCGTTTTCTTGTAATGAGTAATGAGGGCAGGTGATGAAGTTTTATACTTTTCAGAGGCAATTTAATTTGTGATTTTGAAGCCATTCAGCGGTCCAAAAGAAAACAAAACAGATGTTTTAAAATCTCATTGTCAGGTGACAGGAGCAATACATGTCCCACTATGACGTTACAGATTCCTGGAAAAAGGGTTCTGCTCCAGGGAGCTGCCACATTAAAATCAGCCGTTATGTAACTTTATGAGATCTTCTGTCGTGCAGAGATCTTGATGTTCCTGGCAGTGAAGACAGCAGAAACCACTTAATTTTGAACAACACTGTTTACGGTTGCCTTCTCTACCAAAAATAAAAAATATCCGGGCCAGGGCTATATGTTGATATTCTTTTTTTTGCTGGAGACAGAAACTATTGCTCTGGTCAAGTGTTTTCTCTGACTCTTCAGAGCCTTTCCTTATGTTGGTAATTGGCACCACAAACTCCTAATTGGCAGGAGGAGTGTTTGTTAAGAGGCGGCATTGAGAGCAAACTGGCAAAAACTGGCAATAGATATAATCTCTAATGTGTTTGTCATTGAGATAATGAGGGAAAAGTAGTCCTCTTCCTGGACGCAATTGAGTTCCTCTGAATTAACCTTTGATATATTGAATTCATATTCTGAGTAGTTTACTCAGAGCATTCAGGGCAAGAACTAACACTGAGGACAAGTTCTCTGGTTTAAGTCAAAACTAGCTATTAAGGAAGTCTCATTGAGATCAAAAGTGGCTTAGCTTTTCACCTTACTGCAGCGCTGTACAGGTGTATGCCAGGGCTTGTCAGTGCGCCATGACATTACTAATTGTGTTTCCATCCACCCTTTTGTATAATATTGCAGTAAGAAAAACTTTACTGCAGTTGCCAGCCACAAATGCATAAAATTAATGTTTTCATAATATATGAAGTAATGAGTACTGCATGCATACTATGCTTTTATCTCATATTTTACATTAGGTACGACTCATTTAAATCAAGATTTTATAATTTTCATAGTAATTCATGTGGAAGAAAAACTTCACAGCCAGCCCGCTTTGACCAACCGTCACTACGTCACACTCTTTAAATATCAGTTGGAAATGGTATCGAAAAACAAGATCTGTTCTTGGAAAAAACGTCCATTTAGAATTTTTTGTTTTTGTGCCAGGTGTTCAATCATGCTTCTGCTATCTACTGTAAACTAAAGTATGTATAAAGCTTTACTCTTAATCAGTTACAATTCCATTGTTATGAAATGGATGCATTTTGTCTTTTAGAGTTTAAAACAATACGTGAAAACAGACAATAACCCGGGAAAGCCTGGTTTGTACAGCCAGTGACATACGAGAGGGTATCATGAGCATAAAAATGGAGCATTTACCCCTCAAAACATTCACTACCAAATTAATTAGATAAAAAACAGTGCACCATTTAATAAAAACACACACCAGATTATCCTGACCTAGATATATATTTTTAAGTCTGGGTTAGTCTCCTGGGTGCGCTTGATTGATTTTTAGTGATAGCTTTCTCTTTTCATGATGCACTCTCGCATCTGACAATTTAATTAGCAAACCTGGAAACTACAATGAATTATTGTAGTGTATGTTGTGCTGAATATACCGTAGCTAACATCTCGGTTCTATAAGATAACACTGAAAGTGAAACAAGCATGACAGTAATCACTTCAGAACCGAATAACGATGGCTAAAGAAAGAAGACGTGACAACAAAATGACACAGAGACATTCTGTTCAGTGCTTTAATGTGCCAACGTACAAAGAGATAAATGCTTATTACTGACATCTCTACAATGGCATCTAAAACATGCCAACACACATGCACGCACACACACACTCTCTTTCTGTCAAACACACTTACACTCTTCCTCTATCATTCACACACACATATATAAACACCTCCTAAATCCCTATGCACATCATTAGACAGAGTTTCTCTCGAATCTACTGGGAGATGATGCATAAAACAGAGCTATCTCTGCTTGTGAGCCTCTACTTCTCATCAGTAAATGTACCAAATAAATGCTAATAACTACGGGACAGACCTGGGCTAAATCATACAAGGAACCAGCTGGAGTCAGACACCCTCAGTCCGCAAATCACAAGTATAACAAGTATATAAAGGGAAGCTGTGTTTTTGTAGCATGTTGCCACAATCATGTTGGGCCCTGTTTTAATTACACGAGGGGCCTAAGACCAATAATCTTATTTACCCAGAACCACATTGAAGTGCTTCATTAAAAATCAAAGCATGTAGGTCATTTGTGAAACTGGTGCAAACATATTTGCATTGTCATTTAGAATCAGACACTTATAATTATGATTGCAGCTGACTTGACATTGATTTGAACTCCCAGTAAAGGCCTCAAAACACGCGACAACTTTGCTCGTCTGCTCGTGATTTAGGGCATGTTTGATTTCTGCAAAAATGTAGTATTGTCACTTTGAATCTTGCGTAAAAGATATTTTAATAACAGCCGCTGCACAATGTAGCTAACTACCTGACAAAACAGAGTCTTTGATATGAAACTACCTGTCTGGGGATTTATCTCCTTTAGAGAGTATTTATGTGTTTGGCAGGCTAATTAAAAAATAGAGTTGCTGTAATACCAGACTACCACTGTAAATCAACAGCATTTTCACTACATTAAATATTTTATATCAGTTTCAGAGTTGCTGCTGACAAATATTCTACACAAAACACAAAAGCCAAGGTTGTTTTGGATTTTTAAAGTATTAAATAATTTTGTCCTTTTATCAACATATCGGGATATTTTAAATTATTCTTGTATTTTTTTAACCCAGGTCTGTTACAGTGTTAGTGCCTAAGGCTCCTCTACACCACCAAAGCACACAGACATTTCTAGGTAGCAAAAACATCCTCACTAAGCTGTGGTCAATATATTAAACATTGTAGCGTCCATTTCAAATGTCATACTGGTGGTGATCATCTCCATTACAGCATTTCCTCATTGTGTCAGGACTTCTGTTTCACTCTGCCCGCATGGCGTAACAACACACCGAGTCAGGTGACACAAAGTGCTTCGTCATGACCTGAAAGAAAATCTGGTGACCCGACGAAGCTAAACACTGATTAACTGGAGCCCCTCCACTGAACACGGTGAAGCTGTGACATCTTTCAAACTGATAAAACACTGAAGAGCAGGGTCACATGCTGGAAAGCACCCTCTGACCCATATAGCTGGTATGACTAATGGAATAATGGCCATAACAGTGAGCGCTGTTTCTATTTTTACCCGGTGCTAAATAAAAAGATGGGTAAATTGTGACATCCAGTCACTATATGTAAAGAAAATCCACATAAAAGCATTGAAGTTTAGGATTATTTTGCCCCTCAAAAGACCAAACATCCATCAGTTCAATACTACTTACTAGAGTATATACAGTGAATTTGCATGGGGTTTATGTCAGCCTGAAGGCTTATAAAGTGAGATTAAGTCGCTTTAATCTCCATGACATCCTGTCCTGCCTACAAGTGTTTTCTTTAGTAACGCTTTACATTGCAGCCCGCAAATTACAGCGTAAATATTTTGTACATACAGGGTCCCAATAAGCAAAGGGGAAGAGGGCGTTACAAATTCTGTGTTTAGCTGTTACCTTGAAACAAAAATACTGTAAGCACTTTTTAATAACAAGGTAATTTTTTTAATTATTTAATTTTGTACAACAAAATTAAAGTTTGTAGTCCATTCATGCTACACACATAGATCTTGGTATCTATTGTGTTCTATGCAACTATGTCCCAGTACATTTTAAAACTGTATTACTGTAGTTAGTTGTTTAGCATTTCACCTTTAAAGTTGACATGGCAAACTTGTTAGCGGACAGTTGCCTACTTATTTATCCTTGAATGTTAGTCCAATATTCCCTCTCCTTTTAGCTCTTGTTATGATCTCCACAAGCTCCTGAGGGAAATACCTGTCTCTTTAGCTGCTAAATGCTCCACCATGTTTACCTACTAGTCTCTGCTGTTTATCCCCCAGTCACTTGGGGAAAAAATGTTTGTAGCTTCGAGGAGGGTCAAGATAAAAAAAATAAATGAACACAAGTGAACAAGTCACACCCCTACCTCTCCGATAAATAAAAAACAATCTGTAACAAATTTTAATATCAGTAATGTTACTCCTTTTGATCAATTATTCCTGGCTTGTTACCCACAGCAAGTCTTCTTCCCTCGTACCTGCATATTTATCCTGGTATAGATGCCCAGTAAGTATTTTATTGATACCCTGTATATGATATACTATAGTGTTTACACTGTAATATGCAGGCAGAACCCTAAAGCTTTACTAAACTTGAATAAGCTGACCTTAGAAGCACAGCTATTGTAGTGACCGGCAGAACTGCCAAAAACAACTTTTCCTCATCAACAACAGAGAAAATGAGTTTGTCTGTGGTAAACATCATATATAAAATAAATGGACTTCTGTCAGCTGCGTGATTTATGTGGCATCTGCACAGTTCTATGTTTGTTAAGGTGGCGAGAGAGACAGCGTGGATCCTATCTTTGGGTGATGGCTGCTTGACAGCTCCACGGTAAATATGTAACAATGGAGAGTACAGACGAGACACCGCTTGTATCTCTAAAATGTCACCCGGAGAATTCTTATTTTACTTTGCACTTTTATTGCAGAATGTGTTTTGAAGAGCGAATGGAGGTTACAGGGTTTGGAAAGTAATTCAGCACACAGGGGAAGTTGGCTTTACACTTCAGCTAAGAGAAAACATAACTGTGTTGTCATCTGCTTTATCACCCAATCTAGAATTTAAAATCAGTATAGAAGTTACCACATTTGCCTCTCCATCTACCCTCCATCTCACCCAGAAATTGCACTGGATTCATGTCTACAATCCAAACATCTGATTATTAGAGTCAAACCCTGAGGGAAGGGAACAGTAGAAATCAGATAAATACTTTTTAAATTAAAATCAGCCTGTTGGGGCATGAAAGATTACCAGATGACCTTTTCCGTGAGGTGGTGATGCTTTGATTAAAAATACAGTCCTAACAGTAATACTGACATTTGACACTGGCTGATATTGACATTTGCTTTTCCTGTGCCAGCATATGTGTGCCTGGCTTATATGCCACCAAAATCTACACTGGGTGCAGGGCTGATCCCTGACATTTACTGTAGACAAGGAGACAGCTGTTTAGTGTTAATTAAACGTGGCCTGAAGTTATCAGTAGATACACTGATCTGGTTTATAAATAGTCAGCGTCAGTGTGCATATTGTGTGCATGTTTACATGCACACAATATTGAATCGACTGCTCAAACTGGGAGTTAGGCAATTGTCTGATTGTGTCCTTGACAATAATCCTGTTGATTGAATTATGAGTTCAGAAGTTTTTTTTAGAATCCTTACTGATGTCTGACTATCTGAATTGTTGTTTTTACAAAACATGTGCATGTATTTTACTAACACTTGTAATGAAAAGTCCAAATTTCTATAAACACTTAGACTGCGTCCAAAATCACTCTCTTATTGCTGACTCTAGGTCAGCCACAACAGCTACACACTGTGGAGTGCCTCTAAACTCTATGCTTGGTCACTTGGTCATACTTGGTCAGTCCTTTTTTTCTCATTTGCTTTCTTTCTTCAGGTCATTTTAAACGTGGACATAATACCAGTTTGCATTGTTACGAAGATGATACGTATAATCATCTAAGCTGTGACTCTGCAAACCATTTTCAGAAAATGTAATCCCTCCAAAACTGCCTTCATGACATCCATACATGGACGTTTCCAATTATAAAAGTGCCCTACACTCTGATCGTCTCCTTCGCCAGAAAGGAAAAGCTATATTGAGGCCAAACTTCTGTTTGATAACAAGGTTTTGAGGGGTTTTTTTGTTTTGTTTTATGTCCAACGCAAAAGTTTTAATTACTACAACCTTTACCCATGGCAAATGGTTAAGGTGAGGCGAAGGTCATGTTTATTGCAAATAAACTAAGGTACAGGGTTAGGTAGCTAAAACACTCTTTGTATTACTATTGTAATATGGTTAATAAAACAGCTGACATTATTTGTAGATCTGTGATGGGACACAAACTCCACTCTCTAGCATGAAAGTCTAAAATCACTTTGCCACATGTAGGGCATGCTACTTCCTAGACTGGCACTGGAAGTCATTTGTGACAGAATTCCTGGTAAAACTGGGCTACTTTGATTGATGGAGTTTGTTGAGGATATACCCAACCTGGGACTAAAATCTGCAGACAGTCCTCAGACCTGCAACCCCTTCTGTTTTTGGTTATAATATAACAGTAATTTCCTATTTAAAACAAATAGTCTCCTTGAATACGACAAATTAAACAACATGTAATTTTAAGTAGGGTTACAGCATTTTTGGTTTTGACTCAATAGCAGAACATGATAACAGATTTGATTACGTTGTATTTGTTTGTTTTAGATGAATTAAGAATTAAGTCCAATCCCTGACTCAATAATACCCCCGCTCCCCCATACACACACACACACACAACCTTCAGAACCCACACCTAAGCACTTGAATACAGTGGACTGGAAAAAGTAGCAAATGAGTGATTTTGGACACCACCCTAAACTCCAGCTATCACCATCTAGTCTTAAACCTTAAGGCCACACTTCCCTTTCACCTCCACCTGAGCCCGGTCCGTGTGCATCTTAAGTTCATGAAATGAAGACAAAGGTGTATACATGCCCCAAGGGATGTCAAGTAAATTTATAGTTCTCCATTTATTTCTGTTATTGTACTTACATCGGCTGAGTGTATTATGATCTTATTACAGTCAGAATGCGGGTCCTAACTTTCTTAAACTATGCATGTGCATGTAAACAGGCCCATTGAGAGACCGTATCTGTACATAGCAGACACTCCCATCCACTAACGATGCAGATGGATAGGGAATTGAAATTTAGCAGACCCTTGGAGGCAGCTGAGCGCAATCCTGTCCGACCATGGCTAATCAATCATGACAGCTGCATGTGCACACCCTGTGGTAGCCGTGGCCACAGATATGTGGTTCGATAACAGAATATTGAGCGGGTGTCTTTATTTTATGCCCCCTTCTTTCCTACCCCCAAGAGAAATCTATCTGTCTTATGAAAAGTTATGAAGCGCAACTGTAGCGTCTGATCCTCTTCCATGTCCTTGTGAAAGTTTAAGGGCTCAAGAGGACTCTGAAAAACAAAATGCAACAACTCCTAACTAAGCGCTGACGATGATGCACTGATGGAGAAGGAGATTTGGAGGATGTCCAGCTGAGGATTTGATGTTTACAAGTGAAGATACACGTGCCTTTGCATGTGCAAGCATGCGTAAACATGCGGTAAAAGCCTTCCAGTCTGACATCCTGTTTCCTAAGTAACAGAGTCAATAGGTTGGGTTGTTACGAGTGACATGATAAGAGTAGTTCTTTTTAGTTAGTCAGTTTAGTTTATAGGGAAGCAAGAACGGAGGCGGCATCATCACCGTAAACCTCCATCCTGTGTTACTACAAGGCTGTCAGTTCTCCCAGGTGTGTCACAAGGCCTAGGAATAATCTAGTAAGACCCCTTCCCACCCCTGACCCCTCCCTAGGGCCGACCTGGCGACAGTAGAGCTGTAAATTCACATACCCACCAGCATCAGCGCTGACATTTCTGTTGACTAAGGCAAGAAAAGAAATCCCCCGAATGCCAGCTTCGCCCCCTGATTTCCCCTGGGGCAGAAGCTTGTGGTGATACAGTTATTGGCTTAATTACGGTTTATAGTATTCCTTACAGTTCTTGGGAATTGAGCCGTTAAAGGAAAATATCCCCAAATCCCCTCTTCACTCCCTGAATACCTCTCCCAGCATGTGGCTGTACAGTTCTCGGCTTGAATTAGAGCTAGTAATACTCCTCGTAGTTCTTGGGGTTGAGGCAGTAGAGGATTCCCCCACCAAAGGAGAAGATGGTTCCCCCCCAGGCCAGACCGTAGCCCCAGTTGAACTCGTGGTAGATCCTCAGGTTGATGCTCTCAATAAACTTGATGGGGTACAGGACCAAGCTGCAGGCCTGGAGGACAACTGGAGGAGATATGCAGACATTAATTACAAGGCAAAGTATAATTTGATGAGGGTGACATCATCGTGGGATGTTGCATGCAAGCAGTGAGTTGAAACAAACCAGAATAACTGAGAGCTTATGAGTAGATGAACATTAGTCGTTGTTTTTGTGCCTTAAACTGCACAAATCACCAAAAGAATGCATGAAAAAGGTTCAAAATCCCCAAAAGGAGACCTCCCTCTTAGCTTGAATGCATAATAAGCTATTTGTGTCAAGCAATTTGGTCAGAGCGCTGGATTTTAATAAGGTGTTGGACAGTTTTTTTTACAGAAATAGATGTGAAAAAAATGCCTGTCGTAAGCTAAGACAGCTCACACTGTTACTGTGTTTATTGCTGTTAATGAATATTGCAAAAGCTTCTCGAGCTCTGCGATTACGTACTGATTAGTTTGACACAGATTTAGAGTTTCATTGTGGGACTTGACAGCTGTTAGACGCTGTTAAACCTTTTTTAAGAGAACACAAACATTTGTGCTGAGTCTCTTCATGATCCCTTGTAGCTCATAAATAATATTATTAATCTTATCTTATCGACAGTTTTTTATGAGTGAAGTTTTGCCTGTATACATAGCAGGCATCTAATATTATGAGTTTGTGCACTGTGCTCTTTACCTTTTGCAGGCCAACAGAAGGAAGATCATACATGTTAATGTTATTTTTTTAAATGCTAACTTGCTTGCATGAGGGGGATTCTGTTCTCTAAAACTATGCTGCCTGTTGATGGTTTTGTGGGATAGAGGTAATTCCTCACTACCTGTAGTAGCACAATGTGATTTAGCACAGTATGTTCCTTGATCAACATCCCACATTGCGTTCTTGGACCCATATTGCAATTAACCAATCACAGCCCTCTGACATCATCACTGTACTTCTCCTGTGCTTCTTTAAAAATTCCTAATGGGAATTAGAGTCACCTGATAGGACAAGATGGACGGCTAACTAAACTAACTAGTTAGTGGACGGCTAACTGAACTAATTAGCTAGTGGCTAATTAGCAGTTAGTGGCCAAAGTAACAGCTAACAACAAGTAAAGGTATTTGTCCCTCAGGTAACTCTATAAATCCCCAAATGTTGAGGCAGAGTAGCTCCATAAAATATGATCCAGTTTCACCAAATCAAAGAATTAAGTTTGTTTTTGTGTCTTGTGTCTGTCATTTCTCTTGTGTTAACGATGAGTCCTCCATGCATGCCAAAGTTAGGCATGGAGTTCCTCAAGGATCTGTCCTTGGACCAATCCTCTTCACTTTATATATGCTTCCTTTAGGCAATATTATCAGGAAATATTCCATAAACTTTCATTGTTATACAGATGATACTCAGTTATATCTATCGATCAAACCAGATGAAACTCATCAGTTAGCTAAACTTCAAATGTGCCTTCAGGATGTTAAAACCTGGATGACCTGTAATTTTCTAATGTTAAACTCAGATAAAACTGAAGTTATTGTTCTGGGGCCTAAGCACCTCCGTGACGCATTATCTAAAGATATAGTTTCCCTTGATGGCATCGCCCTGGCCTCCAGCACCACCGTGAGGAATCTTGGAGTTATCTTTGATCAGGACATGTCGTTTAAGTCTCACATTAAGCAAATTTCAAGGACTGCCTTTTTTCACCTACGTAATATTGCGAAAATCAGGAACATCCTGTCTAAAAATGATGCAGAAAAACTAGTCCATGCATTTGTTACTTCTAGGCTGGATTACTGCAATTCCTTATTATCAGGCTGCTCGAAAAAGTCCGTTAAGACTCCCTCAGCTGATCCAGAATGCTGCAGCACGTGTTCTGACAGGAACCAGGAAAAGAGATCATATTTCTCCTGTCTTAGCTTCTCTGCATTGGCTTCCAGTAAAATCCAGAATAGAATTTAAAATCATTCTTCTTACCTACAAAGCTCTTAATGGTCAGGCACCATCTTATCTTAAAGAGCTCATAGTACCTTATTACCCCACCAGAGCACCGCGCTCCCAGAATGCAGGGTTACTTGTGGTTCCTAGAGTCTCCAAAAGTAGACTAGGAGCCAGAGCGTTCAGCTATCAAGCTCCTCTCCTGTGGAACCAGGTTCCAGTTTGGGTTCAGGAGGCAGACACCATCTCCACATTTAAGAGTAGGCTTAAGACTTTCCTCTTTGATAAAGCTTATAGTTAGGGCTGGCTCAGGTGAGTCCTGAACCATCCCTTAGTTATGCTGCTATAGGCCTAGACTGCCGGGGGATTTCCTATGATGCACTGAGCTCCTCTCTCCTCTACTTTCTCTCCCTCTGTATGCAACCTCATCCCATTATTGCATGTTACTAACACAACTTCTCCCCTTTCCGGTAGTTTTTGTGCTTTCTCGTCCCTCTCCTCTCTCCTCCTATCACTTCCTGCAGGTTTTCTGGCTCTGGAGCTGTGGAGTCTGGATCTGTGGCTGCGAGTCACCTGCTGCCCCCGTGTTCCTGCTCGACACCCTCTGCTACAACTATTGTTACTAGTCCTATTGTTATTATTGTTATTATAATCATTAACATTACGACTGTTACCATTAACACTATTATAAATATCTGTACCATTTTTCATTTAGTCTATAGCAACATCACCTTCACTGTCTGTACCTCTGTGTGTGTATATTGTGTAGGCTGCCTCCCTCCCCTCTCTCTCCTTCCATCCCTCTCTTTTTCTCTCTGTTCCTCTCCTGCCCTCTCTCTCTCTCTCTCTCTCTCGCTCTCTCTCTCTCTCTCCTTCACCCCAACCGGTCGAGGCAGATGGCCTTCCCACCCTGAGCCATGTTTCTGCTCGAGGTTTCTGCCTCTTAAAGGAAGTTTTTCCTTGCCTCTGTCGCCTAGTGCTTGCTCTTGGTGGGAACTGTTGGGCTTCTGTAAATAACATCATAGAGTACGGTCTAGACCTGCTCTTTTATGAAAAGCGCTGTGAGATAACTGTTGTTGTGATTTGGCGCTATATAAATAAAATTGAATTGAATTGAATTGAAAATTGAATTGTGTCTTAATAACTTTCTGTCTTTTATTCTTTGTTTCCTGTTTTTACGTTTTTACATATTTTCCTCTCCTCTCGTTTCTGGTCATTTCACTTCCTGCTATTGTTTTCGCCGCCTGTGTGATTGTTTGCTCCTCCCAAACTGGTTTCACCTGTCTATCATTAATCACCTCCCTCTTGTGTATTTAAGGCTGTGTCTTTCCCTTATTCGGTTTGTCTTCGTTCACGGTCAAGCGTCTCTACCTGTTTTCCTTATTCGAATGTTGGATTTCTGTGTTTTGTTGGATTAATAGCATTTCTGGCTGGATTAATAGCATTTCTTTTTCTTTTTTTGAGTTGGATTTGTGTTACTTTTGTTCTGGACTGCTTACCTGAATTCTTGGACATTTGCCTGCCTCATCACCTTGTGAAAGCTTGTACCTTTTGTGTTCTTCACAATTAAAACTAAGAAAACTGAGCGTGCTCTGCCTGGTGTTCTGTGTCTGGGTCCAAATCCTTGTTTTCACTGTGTCTGCACTCGACAGACGTGACACTGTCAACCATTTCACAGATGTCTCTTTTTTTAATGGTGGCCTATGGAGAAAATGCTTTTTCATCAGCGGGGAAATTTTACGCCTATCCATGACTTATTATACATCCATGATCTCCACACACAGCCATGGAAGTATATGAGAAAAAGAATGTGTTTTTTGAACATCTATGCATGTAAACAGTTTTAGTAGACACTCACAAGTCTACAGTATGAAACTGAAAATGAGCATAATATGGGTCAGCATGTTTGCATGGTCAATGTGACAATGTTAGCCTGTTGATGTTAGAGCTCAAAGCAACACTGTACCTACATACAGCTTCATGGTGATGCTAGTCTGACTATAGACTCTTCTTTTTTGTTTGTAAATAGTGAAAATGTCCATATACAACATAACATAACAATATGTTTTCTACCCCCTGCTGCAGCTGCAACCACATCCACAATTTTAAGTGGAAACCTGTCTGTAGTCACCATAGAAACTACAAATTTAACTAGATGATGAGAAAGGAGTAATAAACAAATATTTAAAATATACTGTAGTCAGCATCTATATTTAGTATAGCCATTACAACTTCCAAATTACATTACAAGATAGCAGCCTGGGTGCCAGCTGGAAGAGACAGAAGGGTTGTGAATGTTAAAAATATTTATGTACTAGGTAATTTATCAATTCTGAAACAACAGCTGTACAACAATACAAATATGTGAGTCAACATGGAAGAAATATTTGTAAAGCTCAAAGCTTCAAAAATTTTTATTACACAGTAGGGGGTCAGGATTTTATTTCTAGATTAATTATTTATCATTGAATCAAAACTACATTCTGAACAAACTTCCCCTGATGTAAAATGATTCTGTGTTAAAGTTTAATGAGTTTTGGTTTATGGGATTTGGTCACATTCACTTTTTTCCTTTTACATTTTTTGCAGTGACGTACAAGTTTAGATATATTAGAAAAATAGCAGAAATTAGCATCAACTAGGTCAAGAAGAGAGTCGTATGCCCAGAGGGGATGTCATTTAGCTTTGTTTAGTTCATTAAGCACATTGTAGAAAACAAAATAAATCAAATTTTATCAGGCAAGGTGGAAAGAGAGGGGATGATGGTAGAGAAAAGTAGAAAAGAGGACAGACAAGACTGGAATGAGAGACAGAAGAGAAGGACCTGAGGTGGACTACAGGGTCGAAGGAAACAGGACAACTTTAGGGCAGAGAGAGAGGGATGAGGGGAGGTGAAAGGATGACAGAGGAGGGGAAGTGGGGAGAATGGGCAGAGATAGATGTTTAACAATTGGGAGGGGGGAAGAGATGGAATGGTAGCGGAACAAAGGCGACCACATCAATCGTTATTTCTTCAAAGGGAATTCATCTTGTGGGAATATAAACACGCTTGGGCACTTTCCTGCAAACAAAAAAAACATATAATATCCTAAAATACGCAAAGATTAACACAGATGGTGTGAAAAACAAGCCTTAAAGTGGTTGGTTGTTCAGAAGCATGTATCCCTTTATAGTCCCCCAGAAAACACATCTCTGTGCTCGGCTTTAAAGATATCTTACAGAGAGTTTGTTTGTGTCCAATCAATAGAGAAGACAAGTACATTTTGACAGCTAGAGTTTTTTGTTTGTATGTTAAGTATTCATAGATTACTGTTGTCTGTTTTCCAAGCACTAAAATGATCTATTATATAATTATTTTTGCTTAAAGAATTGATTTATTATTTAATCAAAACAGTGCATCTGGACTTTTTGCAAAGCAAAATGGTTCTCTAGAGTTTAATGAATGTGTGGGCCCATTTTTTTGGGTTCCAATTCATGGCCCTGAAAATGACAAACAACATAATCCAGCTTTAACAACTATTCCCCCTTTCTTTATGGAAGGAAACAGTCTAACAAGAAAACATGAATATAAATATCTTTTCAGAAGGCTTTCATCCCTGCTAATTTTGAATTGCTAATCTTTGTTCTTACAAATTGTTAAAAGGTACAATGTGTAAGATTTGGAACTAACTTGAGGAGCAGAATGTGAAGAGATATCAGCTCTGACCTCATGTCAAAGAAGTCTATGTATTGTGTTGCAGAGATATCTACTGAAGGTATCATGCTAACCAGCTACCTCCAGCCCGTCTCATGTTGTCAGAGGCTTTTGCATTTTACATTCCCTTTTTTGTCTTTTAGTCTGTTTCACCGCAGACCACACCAATGCCTTGGTATTTTAAGCCGTCTTCCATCTCAAATGGAATTTGATGAGCTCTTAAATGTCAATCCAAACATAATAAAGATGTTTAATTCTAATCCATTTATGCATTTTCCATCCTCATACATGCTTTTAAAGTATTTCTCAGGATAAGAAGACTTCCAGTTCATGCAAAATCACGTAGCTTCTGTAAATCTCTGCACTATCCCTTTAAGTTAAGAAGATTTCCTCTTCAGTGCCATATTGTACTTCTGTGGTTTGCACAGTATTGAGGAAAACTTCCGACAGGCAACATATCCAGCTTTGCAAAATCAAACATTTCACGCCTGAAAAAAGAAACTTCCCAATTATTCCGGGAGGTAAAAATGGGGAAAATGAGGAAACTTGACAGTTGAGATTGGGGTTAGCTGGGGAAATTAAACAGACAAGTGTGACACTCCATATCAACCCTGCTGGGCCCGAATCATAAAAATAAGATTTTCTCTAAATGAGTTTGAGGGAGAGAGGGATTGTGTATGTGTCAGTTTGAATGTAAGAATGTGTGTGTGTGTGTGTGTGTGTGTGTGTGTGTGTGTGTGTGTGTGTGTGTGTGTGCATGTGTGTGCATGTGTGTGAGCAGTCTGTGTGCCTATTTAATAAGTAAGGATTATCATTTAAATGCATGTCAGTTTTCTACGTGATTATTCTGCAACCTTCCAGTTACCTTGTCTAAATTGGCTAATTAAGTGTGTGTGTGTGTGTACTTTAGCACATAATGAGTGCGTGGCCTTCGACTCACAACTGGTGTAATTGTGAGCTGACCTGCAGCGAAGAGCATGAAGGCGACGGGTGCGTAGAATCGCCGCCTCGTACCGATGCACACAGCAACTAGAGCGACCAGGAACGACATCAGCACCAGGGCTCCACCCCCTAGCAACAGGGCCAGCGTAGCAACCTGCCAGTCTGGAGAGGGAAGGAGGTGGGGCAGAAAAAGAGAAGAAAAGGTGGACACAGAAGGTAAAGAAAAGAAGAAATTAGGAAGTAACTGAGTGAGCACAGCAAAGCAACATATATGCAACGTGAGAACAACGAGAACATTTATGAATAAATGCTATATAGTGAACGCATACCACAGCTAAAAAGTAAATGTGCAAGACCTTGAGGGTGGCCTGGGAGGAGAAAAAGAGCCACAAGACGCATATTATTATATTTGACATTTTAGGATTTTTACCGCCATCAAGTATGTTGATTAGAAGGAGAACAAGGGAGAAGGTAAGGATGGAAGGAAAGAAGGTATAAAAAAGGAAGGAATGAATAAGGAAATAAGGAAGCATCTATGGGGGGAAAACAGTAGAGGCTAAGAAAGTGGGAAGGAAGAAGGTACAAGTATAGTGAAGAAAGAAAGGGATGGGAATTGGAATGAAAGGGGGAGAAAGGAAAGGGAGGAAAAGGGTATGAATTAAAAGCAATGGAGCAGGGAAATATATTGGGAAAAAAAGGAGGAACAAAGAAAGGGGAAGAAACAAAAGAGGGAATGGGAAAGAAACATGATGTAATTATAAGAAAGCAAAGGAGTAAGTAAAGGGAAAAGGGACGAGAAGAATGAAGCAAGGGGGGAAATTGGGTAAAAAAATAATACTAGAAGGTAAAAAAAAAAAGATAAGACAGGAACATTAAGGAAGAAAGGGATGGAAAGTCAAAGCAAAGTGATTGAATAAAGTGAGGAAAGGAAAAAGGAAGAAATAAAAGGGCATATGAGTGTGTAAGAACCACAAAAAACCTGAGAATCGAGGAACAAAGGGGAACTGAAGAAAAAATGGAGAGACAGGTAAAAGTGATTTGAAGTGAGGTTTGGTGGCGAAGAGGCGCAGAGCATCTCTGAAAGGGTGATGGGCGATAAAAGAGGAGAAACATGCAAGTGGAGAGGCACGAGCATAATCTCACAAGGACAGAGAGAGGGCAGCATGAAAAGAAATGCCAAAAGGAGAAGAGGAGGAGGAGGGTGGTGAAGGTAGAGGGAGAGAAAAGGGGGAGGAGGAGGAGGAAAAGGAGGTGAGGATGGCATAAGGGGGCTGGGGACAGAGCGGCGCTGAGTGAACGTAATGAAGAGAGAGGCACTTAGTATACCTGAGCTGACAAAAAGCCTCCGCTTAAAAGCTTTGCTGGCATGTTATCAAAAATCTGTCCACATTTTTATATCGGGAGCACCGTGGCTTCATGCACACTGAAATAGCACACAGATACATGGTCACAGACAAAGACACAGCCACACTTGGAATCATATTTCACTTGAACTGCAAGATTTGTGAGTATTCTGCTGCTGCTTTTCTTAAAGCGGTGCGGGACTTTTACGTAAAAATCAGCAATGATTGGTTTGCCAGAGCTGAATGGGGGTAACTCAGTATGGCAGAGCCTCGACGTAATAAGCACGTGCTGACAGAGTTGTGTAATAACTCTCACTGTCAGAAGGGGGTGACAAAAGTTCAGCACTGCAGGTTTAACATGTGTTCAGATAGATGGTGATTTTAGATTAGCAGCATACTGGGACATGAAGTCACCTCTGGCAGCATAACCTGAGGTCGAAGTGTTGAACATTTGTGAGTGAAATGTTGTGTTGCATATCCTGGGGATTTATGAATCTAGCATTACTTCAAGAAAAACGAGAGACTGGAGGGTGATAACGCTATGTAACGGTTATTTCAATCTGTAGGGACTTGACTGAGTGAGCAACAATAATTTATTGACATGTGACAAATTGAATGAGAACGTGGGAAGTGATTTGGTGATTAGACCCCATCATAATGACGAGGTATTTTGAAGGGGGTGACGCTGCAGAGGGATAGAGATCACCCAGCGATGGAGTCTGGACACTGGTAGTGGTGCAAAACATCTGATAAGCTACAAAAGCTTTCTCCATTTTAGATTCTATGGCTCTCTGTTCCCTCAGAGAGCAGCACTGTCAAGACTGTCAAGACTGTTTGCTATTGGCCAACGGCCAAATTTAGTGTGTCAAAGTTCGCTGCTTGAATTCTCTGCCAAAAAAACTCATGCAGATTTACTTTACCCCCACAAGCAAATCCCCTGATTAGGGCAATGCCATTAGAATGGATGGATTTCACTGTGTTTCATATGCTGGTGTGACTGGGTGTTATGGGGCTGGACACACACACACACACACCTCGTCATCTTATCCATCTGGGCTCAGAGGAAGTAAAGACATTTGACTATTTCTCTAACCTTTTATTCTACTTGTCTGTCTTCACACTGTGATCAGATGTGATGCTGTCAAATTAGCCGGGCTCATGTAAGTTGGTGTAAAACCTATTTCTGTACTACAGCGCTAAACTAGGAAGTGCTATATTACCGAAAAACATAAATAAATAAAATAATATGTACTCCTTGAGGATATATAGTAGTTCTTAAAAGCCAAACTTCAAACTGAAAGTTCTGGATAAAACATCAATGAACTGCGTCTGACGCAGAAATGTAGCTGTCAGTACAGATGCAAAGCCAATGCACAGTACTTGGCATCAATGGTGCACTGCAGGGCAATTTGAGTGATTTTATTTTTTATTCAACAGCTATTTAAGTTGTGTATTTACTAGCATGGTGGGGGAAAAAAGCTTATGAAAGATGGATGGTGGCGGGGAGAGATAAGGAAAGAGAGACAGAGATAGAGGTGAAAGATGAGATGCAGAGGTGGATAGTGGGAGGCCGACAGGGAAGCAGGAAATTAAAGATGAAAGAGAGAGAGCAGAAAGAAGAGATAGGAAGATAGACCATCGGCACACTCAGAAGCATCTTGTATTACAAATGCAATGCAACCAAAAATCTTCAGTTTGAATGATGCTGCTGATTAGGAAGCTGACACCGTAGGTTGCTTTCAGGACAAACACAGATTCAGCTTTATCAAAATGTTTCCTGGCAACAAGGTATTCCTATGTGAAAACCCAATTTCTATTTCTTAGCCTTTGACTCTTATCTGTCTGTGTGGGTTTGTATGCCCATGTTTGCTTCATATTTTAGGTAAAGCACTTCAGGCAAAAAGTTGGGTTTTCACTTTAAGGCAGCTCAGCAAAGCAACTGCACTGAGGCAATTCTGTTGCCCCATGAGAGCTGCACAAAACATAGCCCTGTAGGAGCAACGCAACAAATACACAGAGTGGAATAAGGAATAAGAGACAGATGTAGCGAGGTGGAGGGTTAAAACAAGGCTCTCAGGAGGCTCAGGTGGTTTATCTTTCATTCATATTTAACTTCCCTCGGAGCACAGAGCTGGATCCCTCTGTAGAAGCACCCTCAACCAATCAAATGTCAGCGTGAAACCAGAAGGTATCAAACAACCAATCAGAAGTGAAAAGAAATGGCATCAGCCATAGTTCTGTGAGAATCACATCTCACTCACTATAGGACTTCATCTTTAGCAAATATGTAGCCACTGCTGTATACAAACCTACTAATTTAGAATGATCGTAAATAAAACACAATTACTGCACAAGGTTCTGACTATCACCATACTGGTATTAAACAAGATGGAGTCATATGCCATCTGAGACTCGTGTAAAATTTTGCATAACTCAGACGATGTTAATTCACCATTTATAGGCAGACTTGAAATCACAAATATCAGAACATGAGCATTTTATTTATGCTTGTATTACACAGTATCTTTCTCTTCATTGCTCTCTTTCTCGAAAATTATCTGTATACCTCATTGCATGGCATTGTTGCGGCGGTACAAACAGAGTCAGCACTTAATGAGTTTAACAGATATGTAACCACTGAATCCAGATCCTCTTAATAAGGTCATTATCAGCCTAGTGCATCCCTATTTTGAATATACTATGTTGTATTTCTATCTTTGTTTTGGAGTAAATACTATATACAGCCTATGAAAGACTACAGATTTATAGTCAATGCAACGGCAAATATCTCACCCACTCTCTCTCTTATTCACACAAACACAAAATGGTTGCTTTAACTGTTAAACTCTCTTTGCTGTTTCATCTTTCATAGTTTGGCAGATTTAAATTGTTCAAATCACATCATAGAGGCTGTAAAACACATACAGGCAACTATATAATTTGCTTTATATACAATATAAATCCTCCCTCTTTCTGTCACCCACATGGTTGGTGTATATAACTTGTAAATTAGTGCTTGTACCAGTTTTCTCACACACAGACACACACTTTCTCTTTCTCACTCACGCAGAGAGACATACCTCTTGCTGTAATGTGACTGTTTGCCATGTGACAAGATTACTGCATTACACTGTCACATTTTTTCATTACAGTAAAGCCACTCCAAGCTGTCACACTGATTAGCTACTGTAGTACTTTGGGTTCCTGTTTCCAAAACAGAACCAGTCAGTCCTGTAACTCACAGTACGCAGTACATTCATCAGTTAGTTGTCATTTTAACATTTTAATCACAACATTAATTATGAGACTGCAAGGATTACTGTAGTTCTTGTCAATTTGACAGTCAGGTGACTTGTGCAGTACTTACGTAAAATGGTAAATGGTCTGTACTTACATAGCACTTTTCAAGTCACTCATACATCGCATTCAGACACAGGTACAGAAATACACATTCACTAGTAATGTATCAAACAATAGCTATGCAAATTGGGGTTCAGTATCTTGCCCAGGACATTAACCACAGATTCCAAGTAACTATACAACACACTATTAAATGTCATATAAGTCCTGAGCAGGTCCAGTTTGCAAACCTGCATTTGCAAAACTCAGTCCCAGAACCAACAATTACCTCATTACCTCAATTACCAGATGCAAGGGGGAGAAATACATGTTTGAAAAAGGTTCAGAGGTGACAAAACCTGTGGGCTTCAGGGTAGGGGCACACCACTGCCACAGGAAATAAATCAATGATAAAAACAATGCAGTGATCTGTGTTTTCAGTGGATTATGTTCACTTGTGTTTCCATCTGCTCAGAACAA